AAACTACTTTCAATAATACCTTCAGTTCCTTCATTCCGAAAGTCACATCCACAGGGTCTCCCCTGTGAGTATACTGGACAAATTCTTCAGAAGGATCTATCCACAACTGAGTGTGTAATGATGAATCATTATCTGGGATGGCAAATCCACAGTTTGATTGCATTAAAATATGTCTCAAAAGACAAACATGGAAACAGATAATGAGTCAGCCTACCTTTTGTTGGGTCTATGTAGCTCCTAAGCTCAACAGCCTTCCCTCCAATTTCATTTGTGACATCAGGAGGTAAAACTGCAGGCTCTGTTGCAATTACAGTTATCTCCTGAAGTGTTGCTTGGAAATTTCCCAACAAACGGTTCAGATCACGCGGCCTCACCACGAAGTTGCTGGGAAGCTTTCTCCTATCAAGTGATAGCTGTTGAATGTCAGGTTCGACATTACAAGTAATCCAATAAGCTTTCTTCATACCTGTATAAGTAGCTCAATGCCTTCAAACTTCACTGGTTCATTAATAGCATAAATAGGTAAACAAATTTGCAATAGACATAAAAACCATGAACGGATAAAAACAATTCCAGTAGAGACCAAAGGAACGTATAGTATCACAACCGTTGGTAAGACCTAGGACTGACCAAGTGGAGCATTAGATATAACCCAAGCATCATTTTGTGCAATCAGTAACATGAAAAAATGAATAGTTTTTAAATAGAAAATATTAATGCCAGTGAAACATCAACAATGATGAGTACAACAGCAGCCGCATCAGGGTATGAAGCTTCAGATTCCTTCGAGCTTGATTTTTGGATGAATCGGTATCTTTTCGACATTGCGGTCAAGTCTAAACTAACACACCACCAAAGTTCAGTTTAAGTAACTATTCATTATTGCTTTGTGTGAGTACACTCGCAGTGCACTCATCTAATCAATCCAGGACATTTCAACAAGCACCTTCAATACAATACCTCTCAATAGAACAGCTAGCAATAAAATCAAGTACCAAAGAACTATCTTGAAAACTAAAGAATTGCAGTGATAACCTTTACCATTGCAACAATTCAAAGTCCATTGCATCTTCGGGGCATCAGTATTAGGCAACAGAACATTTAGCTGATCAATGCTGGATATAGAAGTCCGAAGTACTGAACAAACGGCCTGGCAAGTATTAACGTGACAATAAGTAAAATTATCTGAAACAAACATTCTTGAATAACACTATAAATAAAAACATGAACTACTTGCCTTCAAGAGCACACTAGATTGCACCTGAGCACCACCAGGCACGGTGTAAACATCGAAGAAATCAGGCTTAAATGTAATTGATTGATAGGCTGACCTCGACGAATTAAGAGTGTGAAATGCAAGCTGCCACCATTGGAAAAATAATTTAAAAAAAAAGAGAGAGAAAAACCTCAGAAGATTATAATTTCTAAATTTTTTTCCTTTTCCTGTGCACTTAAATGAAATACAAAATTGTGAAAGCTCAGATGCCGCATGGAAATAGCAATTGCTGCTATACAATGTCTCGCACAATTGAGGGGAAAGAGATCGAAAAATTTCATAATTAACCAAATTAATGGCGGAAATCGTAGATAGAAATTGCAAGGACGAGAGAGGGGGAAAAGAAGAAGAAAAGGCAAGTAGAGAGGACCAGGGAAGGAGAAGCTTGGATGGCGAGTTCGTTGCCAACGCGTGCGAGGCACGTGATGGACCGAGCAAATGTCTTGAGAGCGTTCCCGCTGAGGCTTAACTCCATCCTCAACAGCAATACTTCGCTCCACTGATTTGTTGTCTGCTAAGCAGAGTGCTGTTGAGACTTGAGACCTGAAAATGGCGGGAAGGGAGAACCCGTTTGGCGCGTATGGCGGGTAGCATATGTTTTCATTCTATTCTAACTCTTTTTTTTTTTTTTTTCTTTCGAGAGTGATAGCACTTGAAACTCAAAGCCTCTTATCATCTAACCAAAGTCTCCCCCAGTCTGTTCTCGCTTTATATATATCTTTCTAAACCAAGGCATGCAGCATAAATATTTGCGTAAGTTTGGTCCGGTCGAGCTTGCTTGTAGACTGGTATATTTCAAGAGGCATATCAATTATCTTGCGTTATCATATGCTATATATCATAGATTTTTTTTGTATGGTCATACATACCGTGACAATAATGAGATCTTTTAAATATATCTCACAATTACTAGTTGATTTGTATATCAAGTCTAATCAAGGTGGTGTTTAATTTTCACCTTAGAATCAGATTAGAATTCGAAATCATTTATTCTAGATTTGGATCATCATTCTAATATATTTATTTGATTCAGTATTTAGAGTGTGTATCATTACTATATCTAATATTTGGTTTGTTGATTCTTTCTGGATGAGATATAAAGAATTTTTAACTTTACTCCAACTCTATTGTCTAACTGGTTAAAAACTAAACATTAGATGTGGGCATGCCCTATAACTCAAATTCTGTTGTGATCGAATTAGAATCCAAACATATATAAGATGTGGGCACGTTAAAAAAAAAATGAAGTAGATAGACCACTTTTAGTCTTCTCCACCTAACTACTCTCCTCCTCTGCCGCCACTACCTATCATTCCTTCATTTTTCCTCTTCAACGCCACCTCTTCCTCATTCCTCTCTAGCACTACCACTCATTTTCCCTCCTCTCTCCTCCTTTTCTCCCTCTGCGACTTCTCCCTCGCCTCTTTTTTCTTGCCTTCCCTATCTTCTCTTTCTCTGTGGGAGATCAAATTTAGTTACCCAGTGGGAGGAAGAGGATGGGCGACTAAATCTGGTCGCTAGCGAGCCAGGAAAGGATGAGGAGGCCGGAAAAGAGGGGAGAGGGGAAAAAGAAAGAGAATAAGTAGCAAGGGGTAAGAGGAGAAAGAGAGGACAGGGACAGTGTTAGAAAGAGAGTAGGAGAGGGGAAGCGGGAAAAGAAGGAAGCGGGAGAGGGGAGTAGAGGGGGAGAGGAGGAGGGAGAAAGGAAGGGGAAAGAGAAGGAAGAGAGAAGAGGGTGGTGTTGTGGAAGAAGGAGGAGAGGGAAGAGAGAAAGGAGTGGCAGGTGGTGATGGTAGAGAAGCAGAAGTTATTGTTGGGAGAGTTGGAACGTATTAAGGGGTGGTGCTGGAGAGAAACGAGGAGATGGGAGAGAGAAAGAGGTGGCGGATGGTGATGGTAGAGAAGCAGAGGTTATCGTTGGGAGAGTTGGAACATAGTTGGAAAAGAGGGTGAGTTAAAAGGGTAGAGTGTTTTGATTGGAATCTAATTTGAATTTTGTCCAAAACCCTCCTATCTACTTGAATTTTGTGGAATTCTATATTTTAAGAAATAATTCCAAAATCTTCATTTCGATAGTCTTAATCCGAACATTCTTCATTTGATACATGCTAAAGTTCCTTATTAGTAATTAAAAAAAAACTCTAAACAAAGGAAATGTAAGAAGCTGATAAATCAAATTTTGTCTTGTTTGGTTTCAGAATGTGTTTTAGGGAAAATTAGAGTTTTGGTCCCCAATTGATTACCAACGAGGAAACTAGTCCCCAATCGATTGCACATAACAAATGTAATCCCCAATCCATTCAATTTTGCTCAAAAATGGACAATTGATGGGTTTTCATCATTTTTTGACGGAAATAAGTCACGTGAGATCATGTACCCGTACTTAAAATCCTTTTTCCATTTTTTTAAGCGGGAAAACTCATAAAAAACTATTTCCTGCTTTCTGGTGCCCCCATTCCTAATTAGCAAAGACAAAACACACTAATTGCCCCCTTCTTCTCTTCAGGCTCCAGAAACGAGAATAAAAAACCAGATTAAGTTTTGTGTATAAAACCAGCAGATCGGAAGAAAAATCTTGAAGAACTCGGTGATCGTGGAGTTGTTCGTGAATTTGGAAGGAAATGGCTCTAAAACCAAAAGAAATGAATGGAGCACCACCATCAGATTACGGTATGTGATTTTTACCTCAGGTAGCATTATGCATGCAACTGATTTATGTTTATATTGTAAGAATGTGATGATCAAAGTTGATATTTTCACTTAGGAGATAACATTTTGACTTGGGAGACAAAGAATGTCTTCAATTTTAGATTTTTAAGTAATCTGGCAAAGCCATAAAAAAAACAGAGAAGTACTATTTCCTTTTCAATAAAAAAACTTGTCTATCATTTAATGTGGTTCCGTATGTCTCTCTGGTGTGGGTTGTCATAGTGGACAATGTTGGTTTGAATGAGATTTCGTAACATGCTTTTGTGGTGCTTTTGTGGTGCTTTTGTGTCCGTAAGTCTCCCTGTTTTTATATGGCAGGGGATGTATTATTGAAGTGTCTTGAAACAGATTGAGTGCAAATTACCTGCTTATATAATCTAATTTGTCACTTATGGTACTTGTTTATTGTGTTTGTTTCATTTTGTTGTCTCTAAATTCAGATAGTGAAAGCACTGAAGTGACTATGACGTGTTATATATGGGGAAAAATTGAAACCGAACCTGATGTGCATTATGAGGGAGGAGAATTAAGGATTTTTGATCATGTAGAGGCCACATGCATTAGTCTATTTGAAATGGATAGAATGCTAGAAAATCAACTTCAAGTTGTTGGTGACAAAAAATACCATATCCTAATCGAGGAACATGGATTTCATTTGTTAAGACATGATAGAGAATTGCATGCATATTGTGCTGATCATTTTGACTGTGGTAGGGTGGTTGATTTGTATGTAGAGGTTTCCCTTAATGATCTACTATCATCACAATGGGGGTTTGACATTGAGAATAGGGACTTTGTGTTAGAAGATGAAGAGGATGAAAGTGATGATGAATATATGCCTAGTTCAGGCTCTGATTTGGGGGAGTTTTCAGGAAAAGATTCGGATTATGATTAAAATTCAGATGATAATGATTATGATGAAAATGTTGATGAAGATTCTGAATGGTTAGGAGTAGAAAATAGAAAACAAGAGCAGCTGAATAGGCATCTAAAAAACAAGTGTACAGATGCTAGAATGAGTCACAAGCCTAGGAAACAAATGTCTAGTGATACTAAAAGTGATGATGACAATTCTGATGTAGATGCTGCCCCAGATTCTGATTCTGATATTGGTAGTGATAGAGGGTCGGATGAAGAGAAAAGCTTGAGACCCCTTGTGTTTGATCCCAAGGATGAAAATAATCCCAAAATTAAACTTAGACAAATATTTTCTTTCTTCAAGGAGTTGAAAGAAGCAATTAGAACCTGGAATATCAGGAGAGAGAGATCATTTAAATTTATCAAGAGTGATAACATAAGAGTTAGAGCAATATGTCCTAAAGATGGCTGTGATTGGTGCATATATGCTAGGAGGATGAAAGGGGATGGCAGATTGGAAGTTAGAACATTTCAAAAGAAGCACAAATATGGATTTTCATACCACAACAAGAGTGTGAAGTTTGGGTGGGTAGGAAGAAGGTATGTTGGCGTATTTAAGGAGAGCACAAGGCTGGACTATGTTAGTTTCAAAAAAATGGTAATGAAGGAGCACAAATGTCATCTTAGTAGACATCAAGCTATAGAGCTAAGAAAATTGCAGAGAATTTGGGCAAAGGCAGTGAGATGGACCAGTTTAATAAACTGCCTTATTATATTAATGAAATCGAGAGAAGTAATCCAGGTAGTACTGTAATTATGAAGCTAGTAGATGACTATTGTGATGCAGTAACCGGACAGGGTAAATTTCAGAGATTATACATGTGCTTTGCTGGGGTAAAACAGGGGTTCTTAGCAGCTTGTAGGCCTGTGTTTGGATTGGATGGAACTTTTTTCAAAGGTTCAGCAGGGGGTGTATTATTGACAGCAGTTGGAGTTGATCCAAATAATAGAATGTATCCTATAGCTTATGCAGCAACTGAGGAAGAAACCAAAGATTCTTGGATTTGGTTTCTAACATTACTCAAGAAAGATTTGAAAATTGAAAGGGACTATGAGTGAACAATAATGAGTAATAAGCAAAAGGGAATAATCCAAGCATGTGAAACAGTTTTTTCGAATGCAACCCATAGATTTTGTGTTAAACATATGCATAGTAACATGTCATCTGCTGGGTTCAAAGGGGCAGCAATGAGGAAAGCTCTATGGAAAGCAGCCAAGGCAACTACTCTAATTCAATTCAGAAGAAGAATGGAGGCAATTGCTGAACTTGATGCTAAAGCTGCTAAGTGGTTGGATGACAAGAATCCGGCTAAGTGGAGTATATCACATTTTAACACTTACCCGAAGTGTGATATGTTGCTGAATAACATATGTGAATCCTTCAACAGCAAGATCTTAGATGCTAGAGAGGCGTTAATTGTTGCAATGATGGAGGCATTGAGATATTTTATGATGTCAAGAATGCAAGAGAATAGAGACAGAGCCAGAAAAAAATGGAGCAAATATGCAGTCTGCCCAAAAATCAGAAAAAGAGTGATGGAGAACATAAATAAGGCAATTTACTGTGTGCCTTACAAATCCAATGAAGCTAATTATGAAGTTGCTGATCCCTATAGTCAAAAGTATGCAGTTAACATTGAAGAGAAGACATGCTCTTGTAGGAAATGGGACTTGACAGGGATACCTTGCTATCATGAAATTTCAGCACTTTGGATTGCAATGAAAGATCCAATGGAGTATGTTGATGACTGCTACAGAGTGAAAACTTATCTCAAGTGTTATGAGCCTTGCATACTACCTCTTCATGGAGAGCAAGATTGGACAAATGTGAATGTCAAGCCCCCACTCCTCCCAGCATATGGAAGAGCACCAGGAAGACCCAAAAAACAAAGGAGAAAGTCTACTAATGAGGTGCAGGAAATGAAAGATAAAAGAGTTAAAATAAGACGATTTGGACAAATCTGTAAATGTACTTACTGTGGGGAAAAGGGTCATAACACAAGGATATGCAAGCTTAGGCAAAAAAACTGTGGTGATGAAGATGTAAGTCTATCACAGATGTCATCTGCTGGATTGCATGAAGCACAATGTGAAACAAACTTATCCCAAATAGATACAAACCATGTCATCTCTGTGAGTGATAAGTCATGATATATATGAATTCAAGTTCTATGATTTTGTATTTGCTGAATGATAATGGTTTTAATCTCATGTTTTAGGTTGAAGGTGTTGGCCCCACTGCTAAGAAGACAACAAGAAGAGCAGTGAAAAAAGCTGTACAGTTTTCTTATAACTTCAATTTGATTTTATATTCTTACCAACATAACAATTGCACATACTCATTACTCGTACTATTGTTGTGCAGGGAAAAAGCACTAGACGTGTAGGAAAGAAAGAGACTTCATCACAAAATAGCCAACAACCTACTGAGAGTTGCTTAATTTCTTCTGCCTCTATTGCTGAACCCAACTTACATGAGATTTTTGGAATTGAGGATCCACATGTGGCACATATCAGCCAATCAGTTGCTCCCATTGCTTCTGCATCATTTAGAATTAGGGATGTTCACATTTATGTCCAACTCCCCAAGACCAATGAATCTGGTGTCTAGTCTAATGTTCAAGGAAAAACAAAAGTGAAGTAATTATGTATTTCATTTGTTGATGATCAGACTTAGTACTTCTTTTGCTATGTTGGATGTAATGCAGATGTTGTAATTCTGCTTGTTTTGTACTTCTTTTGTTATCTTGTGTGATGATGTCAAGAATGTATATTTTGTAAGGGAGAATTGGAGGTCCCTTTTATGGGAGAAATCTGATTACTATTGCTGGTTTTATGGGAGAATTGTTGCAGTTTCCTTCATTACTTCAGTTGTGAATATCTTGGCATCATTGTGTTTTACAGGGATAATTTGTAAATTTGCTTATATTGCAAAATGCTGCTATCAAACTTACACCTATGTTGCTGGATGATGCAAAGGTGTAGTTGAGATTTCATTTTCCTTTGGGATTACAGGAACATCAGCAATAGCTGTGGCTGATGTTTGTTTTTGTTTCTTTTTCCTTTTTTGGGGTGAATTTCTTTGGTACAGTGTACAGAAAAGCTTGTTGCAATTTCTTTTTTTTGGGTGAATTTCGGATGGCCATCATATGTTTTTAGATTACAAATCTGTTTTTGAAGTTCAACTATCTAAATTTTTATAGGGATAATTTCCAAATAATGCATTCATTTGGCCTCTAAATGCCTTACAGTAGCATTGAATACATTACTGATATCTTACTAGCAATACAATACATCTCAACCTATACATTCATCCATTGCTGATTACTAGTAGCCTGTCATAATCCGCTAAAACAAACAACAACAGCAATAGATCTTAGTTTCTGGCCTTTTACACTGGCAAAACAAACAACAACAACAGTGCCAACAACACAATTGCAGAGACTAATTTCCTTTCCCTTGCTCTTAGTTTTTTAATTGTGGCATCCTTGGCATTCATGCTCCGCAGCAAATCAGGTATCAAAGCAGTGGATCTTTGGCACATTATCAGATCATACCACTCGAAATAGTTGCAACCATTTTCATCTCTTTTGCCTTTCACGGTCAAAAAAATATTGCTTCAGAAAAAAAACTCAAATTCAGAATCTAAAGCAAGAATTTGAGATAGCCCATACCTTCTTCATGCCGCAGCTGAAATACCTTCTTCCAGGGTTGTTGTGTGTCCAAGAGGTCATCATCATTACTTGTAACTTACAGTGACAAAGCTTTTATGGTATCATTACAAGATACGGCCAGATACGAAGACAAGACAAATCTGCGAACGGATGACGAAATCCGAAGCTCAAGCACTTCAATCCCAATCTGTGCAAGTCTTTGTCACTTCTCGGCAATTGAATTTGGCTACAAGGGTGTCATCTTCAGTTGGGGAAGAATATAGAGCACGACAAAAAGAAAGACAGGGATAGATTGGGTTTTGTTTTGTTAATCAAAAATTTTACCAATTGCTCAATTATATAGTAGACTAATACTAATTAATATAATTAACTCCATTTTCTAATTGAGTTTTGTCTTTGCTAATTAGGAATGGGGGCACCAGAAAACAGGAAATAGTTTTTTATGAGTTTTCCCGTTTAAAAAATGGAAAAAGGATTTTAAGTACGGGCACATGCTCTTACGTGACTTATTTCCGTCAAAAAATGATGAAAACCCATCAATTGTCCACTTTTGAGCAAAATTGAATAAATTGGGGACTACATTTGTTATGTGCAATCGATTGGGGACTAGTTTCGCGTGTTGGTAATCAATTGGGGACCAAAACTCCAATTTTTCCTGTGTTTTATCCTATTTAATGTATCAATAAAGATATGATATCTTGTGTTTTATTGGACATTTATTTTTGGTCAAAAGAAAACCTATTTAACATTAGTTTGGCTATATCTTCCTATGTACGAAACATGAGTGATGATTTTGGTGTTAAAATTCCATAATAATAAGAAACAAAAGTGCTTACAAAGAGAAGATTCTCAAAAGTTGGCAAAACCAACCACTTTTTTTTAAAAAAGTTTTTTCTAGTAGGGGAGCGATGAAATTTAAAAAATAAGAAGAGAAAAGTGGAAATAGAATTTAGAACTTCTTCTAAGTCTTAGAGGCTGAACCTCCAAACACCGAATACCAAGAAAACTATATATAATGTACAAAGCTTAATAATTAGCTAAGTTCAATTTTTTTTTTTGGTCTAAATATCATACAATACTCAGTTGCCAATTCTTTTGCTGTGTTCCACTGCCTTCTAGCTAGGCAGCTGTGACAGCTTTAACATAATTTATGATACTCTTCAATACCACTCTGGTAGGTCTCCATTCATTTGCAAAAATCCTTTCATTCCTTTCCCTCCATACATGGTGTATTGTTCCCGTAAGTGCCAATCTTTGTACATGTTCAGCAAAATTTTGTTGTGTATGGTGCACGCATGAACTGCATAGGAACTCCACAATCCAAGGATAAGTAGTTGTATGTATAAATTCAAAGCCACTTTTTTCAGAACAAGGGGCACCTGCAACCATTCCCAACGGTTTTGGCCATTTTCAACAGCGCGTAACTTTGATTATATATGGCATCACTTTGTTTGCATAACGTGTAACTTTAGTACAAAATTTTGTGGATCCCATATACGGTGTGAAAATCGATGTACAACTTGTGATTTGGACCGCACAATTTGTTGAGACCAAATCATGACCATTAACAGCTCAGGAGCGGTCATCAGCCCGTTTCCCTTTTTTCCGAATGACTAAGATAATTAGTTATATAGAGTTTAATTAGTATTCAAAAGGACTATACTGAATCAAATTATACTGACCTGTTGTAGTAAAAGATAACGGAAACTAGAAGGTTGTCAGAACTATGGTTGGGTTACCTAGCTATGGTAATCAACAATTTTCATAAATCATATCATTTAATTGGAACTAGTTTAGAGCACTTATGTGCATATTGGAATGAATACTATGCTCTCTTAATTGGAACTAGTTTATAATATAATATACTGGTAGGCATATAATATATATATATATATATATATATATATATATATATATATATATATATATATATGTTATTAACAATATAAAATTTGGTAATTCAACTAGTAATGGGAAGTTCGGGAATGGAATCTCAATATTCATTCTCAAACTTTTTAAGATTGGATATAAATCGATTTTATTGATATCCATTTACCATTTTCTGATATTTGATCTACATTGGACTGACGATTTTTCGATTTTTTCTGAACTTTGAACACCGGTACTTTTTAATGCGCAGTTTGTGTCTTATATTTTATTTTTAGCTTTTCTTTTTTAACTTGATTGGTTGCATTTTTGTCATTAATTTTATGATTATTTTCCTCTTTTATTTTACCAAATATTATTTTAATTGATGGATTCTATTTATATTTGGTTAATGGTACTAATTGTAGGAAAATGAGCAAAACGTGGTTAAAAGGGGTAATTTTCCTAGAATTGCTGTCAAGTCCAGAGAAGTTGAGATTCGCGCATGGTAGTTTCCGA